AACTTGGGCCAAGTAATGAGGTGATTAATCCATATCCATATAGTAATAGAACTCCAACCTCCACTCCAACTCTAACTAAACCCTAGGTATATATAAACAGTCACTCTCTCCCTTATTCACCATACTGTTCCCACTTCCCCACCAGATCCCTAGCGGTATTCTCTTGCTCCTTTAATTTACATTTACATTCAGCCTTTCTCTAAAGATTTCTGGAATGCGTATTGACGTTTTTGTTTCTGCGTTTCAGTTAAGGTAGCAGAAAGAGTTGATCTTTGTGAAAGATGAAGGTGGTCGCTGCATATTTGTTGGCCGTCTTAGGAGGCAACACCAGCCCCTCAGCTGATGATATTAAGCACATCCTTGGTTCTGGTATGCTTCCCAACATCCTTTTTTTTTTTTTTCAATGTTGAAATCTTAGGTAGTTTGTATTCTCTTCTACCTTTTTTATTCCTTAGAATTCATGTTATTTGTTTGATTGAGATGCATGGGTCTTTTAGCAACAATTTTCTGTGTTGATTTGTTCGGTAACCTTTGCATGGAAAGGTTTCTAAGGGGATGAGACAATTCCAATGAGTCTTTCTTTTCGCTATTGCTATCATGATGTCCAAGGGGCCTTACGTAACGTATGTGATGTGGGCCATGTGGCACTAATAATATTGAATACTCTAACATCTAGGTGATGTCCTCTCTCTCTTCCATTTTAAGGGATATCGAAGTTTTCTGTTTATTTTCCTTGGCGACTTGTATTTTTGTGACATTGTGGAATGCTTTTAGATGAGTGAATGCTTTTTTTTTTTTTTTTTTGCTATTGCTATCATGATGTCAAAGGGACCTTAGGTAATGTATGGATGTAAGAGATCGATGTAGCATTAATAATATTGAATACTCCAGCATCTAGGTGATGTACTCTTGCGGTCTTGCCTTCCTTCCATGTTAAGGGATGTCAAAGTTTTCTGTTTGTTTTCCTTAGTTACTTGTAATTTTGTGACATCGTGGAATGCTTTTAACTGAGTTTTCATGTTCAGGAAACGGCTCTTGAACTTTTTTAGTGATCTAATTACATAAAAAATAGATTGTAATTCCTGTATTCTACAATGCTTCTCCAAGAACAGTAACTGGGGACTAGTAAAGAACAGTCTCTGATTAATTTATTGCTAAAGGGATTAAAATTATATGGGCTTTACAGTTGGAGCTGATGCTGATGAAGATAGGATAGAGCTCTTCCTATCACAAGTCAAGGGCAAAGATATAACAGAACTTATTGCTGCTGGGAGGGAGAAGTTGGCCTCAGTACCTTCTGGTGGTGCTGGTGTTGCAGTTGCTGCTGCTGATGCTGCACCTGCAGGTGCTGGAGGTGCTGCTGCTCCAGCTGCAGCCGAGACCAAGAAAGAAGAGAAAGTGGAAGAGCAAGAGGAGTCTGAAGATGTAAGCTTTTCTTGAAACCCTAATTTTGTTACACTGCATATGTCAGACCTTGACCCCCCCCCTCTTATTTTACTAAATCTTATCTTCTCTTTACTTGCTTATAATCTATAGATTCCTTGTAGACATGTTCACATTTAATATTTGCATGCACTGTATGCTAACAATTGTTTAGTGGAGCATGGCTGGAACCTGTCTTGGCATTGCATTTTTTTTTTTTTTGCTTTGGGCATAGACTTACCTGATATTCTAATCAACTTGTTACATCTTATTGCAGGACTTGATGTTCAGTCTTTTTGACTAAAGGAGATGTTGCTTGCTTGGAAATATTCTCTTCTCAACTCAAGCCCCCTTTACTTAGATTCTAAAATAATAAAATAATATTATTTAAATATGGCATTGTAATTTTTTCTTAAAATTGTAGATATATATTTTTTCATCTTTTTATGTAATAAATAAAATATTTATATCAATAAAAAAATTCATAAATTAAAAAAAAAAAAACTCAAAACAGTAATTTTCGTTAAAGCACAACGACACTCAAAAGGAAGATATTCTGCAATGCTGACTAGTGGGGCGTGAAAATTGTGCAGCGATTTTACGTGGTCAGAGGACAACCATTTCACCCAGCAATTAGAAAAAACGACGGGGGTTTACCGTGACAATGTGGTCGGTCGAACAAGAAACCAACCAATCCGCAAGGCCCCAACCGAACGCATTAACACGCGCTAACGCGACGTGTTAGCCAGGCAGATTTTGAGAATAGACCGTAGAATTTATAAGGTCAATGAAATTAAGGTTTCAAAATCCAAGTAGTAGGATTAAAAAAATAAAAATTACATCCCAAATCCAACTGCTCTCAGACTCGGGTCAACCTCTTTTTTTTCGGTTTTTCGTCTGGTATCCGGAGCTTTACCCGATTAATCCAGACCCGACTCGCGTCGCGCACTTGAAAATGATAGGTGAATCTCTCAGCGAGGACTGCTGCGTTTACAAGGTCTCGAACTCGAGACCTTACTTAAACTGAAACAAGTTGCTTACCACTTGATCCAAAACCTCATTGATCGGGTCAACCTCTTTGTTTTTTCGGGAATTGGTCACAACTTGAGACTGACGTCTCCAAAAATTGCCCAATAAAGACTCCTTATGAATTACTATCGTGTGGGCCACTAAGATCGGAAATAATATAATGATAATATCACATACAGTTTTAAATTTATTTAAAAATTAATATATATTAGTTTAAGCTTCTTAAAAAATTAAAATTTTAATTTTAAAAAATTAAAAATTAAAAATTTATTTTATTAAATATTAATATTTAAATTTAAAAATCAATTATATATTTTTAGATTTGGCAAAATTAAACTCAATACAAAAATCTAACTCAACTTGTTTGTTATGAGTTCGATCATGAATCATATGTATTAATCTAAAATCTAAAATGATATGAACTAAAATTACCAAAATCCAAATGAGTTGGATAATGAGTCAAATCAAAAAAAAGATATGAATTTTTTTTTATTCATTTTTTATGAAATTACTTAAAAATGAATTTTTAATTTTTAATTTTTTAATTTTAAAAATAAAAATAAATAAAATACCTAAATCCTAACATCATGTAATCTCAATTTCTCTCAACTCTCCTTCTCCCCTTTCTCATTACAAGCTCTCTTATCCTTCTCCTTGGTGGCTCCCTGAATCCTTTTCCATTAGAAGCACAAAACAAAAATATCACGGTTAGTTCTTAATTGTTAATTTGTTCTAAGTTAATATTTTTTTTTCTAGTTAATAAAAATCAATTTCAATTTAGTTTCTTCTTACATTTGTTTAGGCATATTTTGGATTTGCTTTTGAAATTTAATATTAAATAGGGTTGTATTTTTTGTACAATGCCTTTTTAAATATTAAATAGGACTATATTTTTTGCATAATACCCTTATAAATAATGAATAGGCACTAAATATTAACGTATATATTGGATTTGTTTTTTGAACTCTAATGTTTCATGTCTCTTTTTTTAATAAAAAGTTAATGCCTTTATAAAATTATGAATTCTAAATAATGTGTAGGCATTATATATGTGACTTATATTTTAGTTCCATCTATACAATCAGTGATCTTGTCTTTTTCTTTTCATGAGATTGGAATGAAAATTGAATCATAAAATGAAAACTAACATTTAATAGATTTTTCTAACTAAATAGTTAATTTGTACTAGATTTTTTAAAAAGAAAAATAGAGAAAAATAGGAAAAATTTTTAATTTTAATTAAATTTTTTAAAAAGTTGAGTAAATCCGAACCAATCCAAAATGCAATGTGGGTGGATCATGGGCCTACTTTTCTGACTCAACACCTATCATGATTCAATCCAAAAAACCCGAGATCTGAGACAACCCAATCTGAACCCACTTGATTCAACTTCTTTCTTAGGTTTATATATTCTAATATTATCAGTTTTTAAATTTAAATATTAACATTTAATAAGATAGATTTTAAAATTTTGAATTTAATTTTAATTAGATAAAATAATGTAATTTAATATTAAAACTTCAATTTATTTTAAAAGTCGAAACTAATATGCACTTTTCTTATTTATTTCTATAAGAGTTAATTATTTAGTATTATTAAAATTTTTATTTTTATTTTTTATTAAAGTTTTTAAATTAGTGTCTTATTTTGGTAATTATAACATATTATTAAAGGAATATAATTTATTATTAAATAAGTAAATATATTAAATATTATATGAGGATTTTAAGTGAGAAGAGTCAATTACATAATGATACTTCATATTATAAGTTTAGAGATTAATGCATATTATTTTCAACTTAAAAAAAAATATTAGGATCCTAACTTATATTTGAAAGTTGAAATCCCAATTCAAAATTTAGAAATTCATCCTATTAAATGTAGGTAAATAGATTTGAAAATCAATTATTTATTCTAATACAATTAATTTTTAAATCTAAATATCAACATTTAATAAGATAGATTTTTAAATTTTAAATTAAATTTTAATTAAATAAAATAATGTAATTTAAAATTAAGATTTTAATTTCTTTTAAAAGTCAAAATTAATATACATATTTTTCATAAATTTATAATACCACACAATATTATAAATTAATAAAATTATAATACCTTATCTCATACATTCCCTTGGATCTATCATCCAATTTATAAATGAGATTGCTCAGCCCTTATTTTTAGCTTTGATCCATTCCCATGATCTAATCTGATAATTCCAAAGACCGTTGCAGCCTCTAGTTCTTTCTCCTTGAATACATGATTGCTTCTGGACAGCCATAAGACCAAACACAAGTGAACCATAATACCTTCGACCCTTCTCTTATCTGCTTATCCAAAAAGAAGCCCAAATGTTGATGAAATGCTCCCCAGCTACTCCCCGCCGAGCATGATTGGAGTCTCCACCACTTCATACACATACCCTAGATACCATATGCATATTTACAATGCAGGAACAAATGGGCAGCAATTTTAACCCCTTCTCCACACAAGTCACATGTAGTCAGATTATAACTCCTCAATTCCCCCTTTTAACTTTTTTTTTTTTTGAAAAGCCAAGAAAATTATATTGATAACTTGAGTACAAGGGGTACTCAAACCCATTTCCATGAACAACTTACAATCCCTTCAGTGTTACTACCCTCTTTCAAACATTCCTACTATGCTTTACTGAAGCAAGAAGCAGGGTTAATTAACCAGTCTGATAGATTGAAGTAACACTTGGGTTTCCTAGCTTTGATCCAAGCAAAAGACCTCAATTGAATAAGCTCAAAAAGATTAATCAGGTTTACCTCTGCGTTGTCAAAAATCTTTTTGTTGCGCGCCATCCACACAGTCCATAACATTGCATTCCATATACAGTCCCACCCTTCCTTTTTGTGTGGCTTTTTTGTCCACGCTCCCAATTGTTGAAATGTTGGCCAGCATTCTTTTTGAAGGACTATTGAGATTCCCCACCACTTTGCACAAGCTTTCCACAGCCACTTAGCTACGTTGCAATTCAAGAACAAATGGTTTGAGTCTTCCTCCTCTTCCTTACACAAAACACATTTCCTTTCTTCCGCATGTTTTATGATTCCCCATTTGAACAAATTAATCCTAGTTGGGATTCTGTCAATTAATACCCTCCAGTTGAAAGCAGCTACTTTTGTTGGAATGGTCGGATTCCATACTCTCTTGAATACTTTCTCCTCCTCGTCTTCCCTCCTTTGTTTTGCTAGTACTTCGTATGCTGTTGTCGTTGAGTATTGTCCATCAACGCTATGGATCCACACCCATCTATCTGCACAACCTGGGTAGATTCTAACTTTGTCGATTGTCTTCTGCAGTTCCTTTTCATCCTCCTCCTCCCATTGGAACAGGGCCCTTCTCCATGTCATGTTCCACTTCCCTGTGCCATTGTGAACCTCTCCCATTTGCTGGCAATCTTTTTCCTTCCCTGTTGACAAGACATATAGTCTAGGATATATATTCGCTAGGCAGTTCTCTCCACACCATTCATCCCACCAAAAACTCACTCCTTTCCCTTCACCTATCTTTATTCTAAATCCCTCCGTCAACCAACCCTCTTCCCCATCCTCCCCGATATTGAGACTTTGTAAGTCTCTCCACCAAAGTGATCCCACTCTTCGTCCATCTCTCACCCATTCCATCCACTGTCCTCCATTATCTCCGTATTTTCCCCTTATAACTTTCCCCCACAGCCCCTCCTCCCCTTTCGCTAATCGTCCCCACCATTTTCCCATCAATGCCAGATTAAACTTTCTTAGGTCCTTTACTCCCAGGCCTCCGCACTCCTTCTTCCTACACACCCTCTCCCAGCTAACCCATTTTATTTTTTTCTCCTCTCCCAACCCTCCCCATAAAAAATTCCTACGTATTTTATCTAAGGAGTAAAGAGTACCTTTGGGGATTTTGTAGGCTGACATCAGATACACGGGTAGACTGGACAGCACAGAGTTTAAGAGCGTGATTCGACCTCCAAGGGATAAGTTTTGGCCTTTCCAGCTAGCTAGTTTCTTTTTGAAAGATTCCAACAGTGGCTTCCACAGTGCTAACTTTCTGTGATTCCCTCCAACCGGTATTCCCAGATACTTGAAAGGTAGTTCTCCTTCTTTGCAGCACAGTCTACAAGCCATTCTCTCCTTCCAGCCCTCCTCGGTTCCAATCTCCATTATCTGACTTTTTCCAAAGTTGATTTTCAGACCCGAAGCAAGTTCGAACGTCCTCAAAATGCATTTGATTACTTGAATGTTTTCTTCCGAGGCCTCCCCGAAGAATAATGTATCATCGGCAAACTGGAGATGAGATATTGCTATGTTTCCATTACCGATCCTTACCCCTTTGAACAAGTTTTTCTCCACTGCAGATTGCATTAACCCATTCAAACCTTTTGCTACTAATAAAAATAGAAAAGGTGATAGCGGGTCGCCTTGTCTTATTCCCTTGTTTACCGAGAATTGCTTAGTGGGGCTTCCATTCACGAGGATCGAGATCATGCTCGTTTGTAAGCATTCCCTTATCCACTTTCTCCATTTAACTGTGAATCCCGTCCTCATCAGCATATAATCCACAAAATCCCAACTCACCTTGTCATAAGCTTTTTCAAAGTCAACTTTGAATAAAAAGCTTTTTAATCTCTTCCTTTTCGCTTCGTCAATTACCTCATTTGCAATCACCACTCCATCCATCAACTGTCTGCCTTCTATAAACGCCATCTGCTGCTCCCCAATGATCTTGTCCAGTACTTTCCTGAGTCGATTGGCTAATAGCTTTGCAAGAATCTTATACATAGCTCCGATGAGTGATATTGGTCTGTACTCCTCGATTCTTTGGGGGTTTTCGACCTTTGGGATTAGAGTAATGAAGGAGGAGTTTGAACCTCTTACTAATTTGCCATGCTCATGGAATTCCTGCACAAATCCAATAACATCCTGCTTTATTTCCTCCCACATTGTCTTTATGAACCTGAAGTTGAAACCATCCGGACTCGGAGACTTTGTCGAGTCACAATCCCATACTGCATTTTGGATATCTTTTTCAGTGAATTCTGCCATCAGGAGATCGTTATCCTTATCAGCTAGTTGTCTAAAGCTGATTCCGTCAAGCTTTGGTCTTTGCCACTTTTCCTCTGTAAACAGCCCCTTAAAATACCTTAACACACCCTCTCTGATTTCAGCCACTCCTCTAAATTGTTCCCCATTGATCTGGATGCTATTAATTTCGTTTCTTCTCCATCTGCCCTTCACACTTCTATGGAAAAATTTTGTGTTTGCGTCCCCCTCCTTCAGCCACATCTTTCTTGATTTCTGTTGCAGCATGCTCTCTTTGATTCTCATATTCTTCCATAGATCAAGGAAGCTACTTCTCCTTAACTCGATGTCCTCTGCAGTGAGTTGGCTGTTTTCTTCTTTCCTGTCCAGTTCTGCTATGTTCTTTTCAGCTCCACTTATTCTTCTGTCCACATCCGCCATGTGATTTGCACTCCACTCCTTCAGAGCTTTTTTGGTTTTTTTCAACTTTTCTTTGAGTCTAAATCCCATCCATCCACTCACTGCATCTGAGTTCCAAACCTGGCTTATCAACTGTTTGCAATCCGGGTAATCTAGCCAAGCATCAAAGAACTTAAAGGGTTTTGGCCCCCAATCAACCTTTTCATTCTTTAATAATAAAGGGCAGTGGTCAAATACTGTTGTTCCTAAACCCCACTGTTTTAAATCGCTCCAATTCTTCAGCCATTCGTCTGAAAGTAAGAACCTATCTATCTTGCTTCTATGTTGTCCATTAGCACTGTGCCAAGTATACCTTCTGCCCACCAAAGGTAAATCTACCAGCCCAGCATCCTGTATAAAACTATCAAACTCCATCATTTCCCTGGTTATCCCACTACAGCCTGCTCTGAATTCCCCCTTTTAACTAATGAAAATTAACGCACTAACCTTGCCAAACTAATGCACTAACCTTGCTCGGGATGATTGTATTCCAAACTTTCTTGTAAATTTTCAATTTAGGTCCATTGTGTGATTATGTCAAAAGTTGATAAGCTACGTTTATGGAGTAGCCATTTTTTGTGCCAATCCACCATTCTCATT